TAAATATTCTATAACCCTTTAAGATCACATAAGAGAATAAAAATAATAAAATCTTAATAAACTAAAATGTGTATATGAATAGTATGCTATTAGGAATATCTGTCCAATACAGTACTAGTTAGGAAGAGGCTCACCTCAGTACAAGCTGGCAGAGTTACAGTGCCAAGAGAAAGCAGTGGCCGACCCCTCGTGGCCCTGCCTGCTGAGGTGGCCTTGCACAGCTCAGCAGCAGTTCTGTTCTTGCCTTCTTGTTTATGGCTACAAGATGAGTTGGGGTACAGGGAAGCGCTTAGATTTCTTTTACTATTAGAATTCTCTCATTCTGTACCTTGTACTGTGGTTAACCTGGCCTTTTTAGCTTTGAAGAATGTGAATCCTTACAAAAGTAGACAGTTGTATAGTGCGTACCCAAAACCTTCCCAGGCCACCCCAGCAGCCACAGGCCACAGCCACTTGGACCACTCTACCCTTCTTTCTGCCTGCTCCTCTCCTGTACTATTTTAAAGTAAACCCAGGCATTGGGCTCTCTAACAAGCTTCAAATTGCCTGTTGCATTGCTGTTCATTGTTTAGTTGAAATGGCCATAGAGTCACATGAGGTAATAAGAGGCAATCAGAAAGATCCCGAACACTTTGACCCAACTTCCCCCCGATGACAACTTCTCGCAAAAGTGTGTCACAGCTGGGATTCTGACCTTGACTTAAGTCTTACTCAGATTTTCAGTTCTTTGCTCATTGCGTGTACAAGTATGTATGTTTGGATCTGTACACAGTTTCACGTGTGTCCCTCCTTTTATTTTGTGACCCTGGGGATAGAACCCAGGGCTTCGTGTGTGCTAGGCCGCTGTTGTTCCACCGAGCCACATCCACGCCCGTGGGTGCTGACTTCGGCCTCCGCTGCCACAGTCCAGAGATCCTGCCGCTCACCCCCCACAGACACCTTCCTGTTGCCTTTTGAGCAGGTCCTCTTCACTTAGCCCTTCCACCAGCTCTTAGTTTTGAAAAATCTAATCTCTTTTCTCTTTGTTTTGAAAATTTTATTTCAAAAATACTACACAATGGTGCCTCAGTTCTCAAACTCAGTTCTCGCCACGAGTCTGGCTGCAAATGATACTGGATGAGATCTGACGTCACCATGAGGTCAGTGTTGAACCAACTTGAATCTGATTTGGTTCACATCCAACTCGGTTTCTGACCAGAATGTGGAAAGAATCAAGTTCCCGAACTGAGGGGCCACTGTGTAAGTGGAGTCACTGCTTTTGTTCTAGCTTTGGTTCTTGATACTGGGGCCTGAGCCATACAGCTGTGGGCCTTTGGGGCTGACTTTTATCTCTCAGGGTGGCACAATTCCCCAGAGACTTATGCAGGTGGTTATTGTGTCCACAGTTTGTTCTTTTTGTTGTTAAGAAGCATGATAGACTGGCTTGCTGACCCACTGACCTGCTCATGGCATTTGAACTGTTTCGAGGTTTTGGCTGTTCTGAATAAAAGTGCTATGAATTCACATCTAGGTTTTTTATTTTTCTGCAAACAATGCCCAAGCGTGCAGTTGTTGAGCTGTGTGGTAGCTTACATTTGGTTCACATTTGGTGTTGTAAGACACAATGTATGGCTCTCCTGGGAGCTTGTGTTGTTTTATATCCCACACAGCAGAAGATGAACGATCTCATTCCCTTTGTCTTCACCAACACTGGGTGGAGTCACTTCTTTTTAATTTTAGTCGTTGTGATAGTACAGGGCTGGCTCAGGGTGGTCTTAGCTTGCATTGCCCTGGTGGCCGCGCTGCTGCGTATCTTTTTCAGTGCTTATTTGCATCCTCTCTGATGATGTTTTGTATTTTTGCTCCTCCATGTACCTGTTTTAAGAGGAGTGGAAGGGGTCTGGTTACCAGTAAATTACTTCTGTAGCTTCTGTAATATCCTGAGGTGATGGGGAACAGAATGAAATTAAATCCTTAGCTTACTAGGGTTGTCACTTGTGTGCGAGAGTTTCTAGGAACCTGAAGATGAGGAAGATAGCCTTCATCTTGACGTTCTAAGGCCATCTAGCACTAAGTGCAAAGGGAAGCCGGGAATGTATGAAGTCTAGAATTTCTCGAGCAGGTGATATTAAAGGTGGTACTTGGTGGGCAGAGGTGACTGTATACAATGGGAAGATGTTAATGCACAACAGCTGGGGATGCACCGTGCTGCCGAAAGGGTGCGAAGATGTCTGCACAGAGATGGCCAGGCAGAGCGGGCCTGTAGTGCAGCCCTTGTCCCGGGTAGGACAGGCACCCTGGCTTCAAATCCCAAGACAGCGACGAGAGTGAGCCCTCCGGGAGCTCCTCAGGAATTAGCCACGATGGTCTCAGAAGTAGCTCACCAAAAAATAAACACCCACACACCCCTAAATTATGATAATGGTAACATTTAGGACCAATAAGAAAAAAGATGGACTGTGAGCCAGCGTCTCAGAGAAATCTACCTTGCTGTACACACAAACAAAATTCATGCACATTAATGACCTGATGTTAATTCAGCCGCAGATGTTTGTGCGCAAAGAAGGAACCTGTATAGCTGTTAAGAGCGATGTGGAGTGTAGTCTGAGGCCTTCTGTTACAGGCACCGTAACTCAGAAGCTGCAAACGGAGCATGCGCAGAGTGACTATATGGAAATTGGAAAAGACAGTTGCAAAGTACAGCGGACAGAGCTGGGAATATAGGGAGTAAAATTACGCTCAGTGCCACCTGCGAACGTGTAAGTGGATGCTCCCCTTCACTAATAATCAAGAGGTTAGGAATTAAAACAAAAATGGCATTTAAAATTTCAGCACCCACAGGCACAAATCAAAAGCAAGTAATATCCAGTATTAATTGGATATGCAGAAAGGGCATCCTCCGACCTATTTTCTGGAAATATAAATTGACGTAGAATTTTTCTGAGGACAGAGTGGAAGTATCTCTTGAAATTTAAAATATCTATAATCTCTCATGCCTTGGTCTCACCCTTTAGAATCTGCTCTGTAGAAAGATAGAGGCGTGTAAGGATATCTGTCTAGGATCTTCATTGCACCATTATACAAATAATCTCCTACAAAGGAGAAGAACCTAAATTCCTAGCAATGTGGAAATCTTCAAGCAAAAACACAAAAGACAGCCACATCACAGTCGTGCCACGGAGCAGAGGAAAGGCGTTCAGTCCACAGCCTGATGTGTGGCAGGTGGCCAACAGCCACAAGTGCAGAATAAACTCTAAGAGCGTGCATGTGCTTTGCACAGTTTGATCCGGGTGAACGATGGGAAGGAGGTACTGCGAGTACACGTATGTGCACTTATGTGTGTGCCCCAAACCACAGAAGTCTGGAAAAATGTCCTCTGGCCTCTTAAAAATGTTACAGATGTCAAGGGAGAGAAGCGCTCGCGTGAGGAAATTTAATTTTTATTCCACGTACTTGGGCAGACTCTGTCCTTCCCTTCTTATCACCATGTGTATTATCCGCTGTGTCTCTGTGAGGGAACCAGCCAAAGGAGGGAAGACTCACCGGCGGTGGGGTGCGTCGTGGTTCTTGGCCTGCTGGGCCCGGCCCCTGGCAGGCAGCCCCGCGCAGCCTCCAGGTGGCAGGAAGTAGGGTGCGAGCGCCAGGGCTGGAGCTCAGGCCTTTAAGGCACGCTTAAGACCCAAACCATAGCACAAGATGCAATTCTTTTATAATGTTAAGAGAAAAAAAGTTGTAAATACTAAGCAATACAGTTACTGGCCAGAAAGAAAGGTGTGGTTGAAAGAGCTCTCACAGGAGAAAAATCTAGACCATCAAGACTGATGAAAGTGGAACACAAACAGAAAAACCTCTTGCCTGTGGCTGTGTTAATTTTCTGTATCTCAGGCATTTATTTCAGTGATTTTTCTCTGGTGACTTAATCTGTTGTGTTTAATTGATAGTGTTTTCTGGGATTCAGTTTAAAGTATTCCGCAAGTGTCTCTGTTGTGACTTATCATGCTATCGTCTCCCCAGTGGCCTGGCGGGGAGTAGGGAAGTGTTAAGGGAAAGAAAGGTTTGGCTTCACTTACCTACACATCAACCTTCTTTCATGCTAAGAAAGTTCGAGTCTTTCCTGTCGTCCTTTCTGATGGGGCAACATTTGTCCCATTATGCCGTTATTGTTTTAATGAGAGGTCAAAATAAGCCAAACTGATCTTCTACTAATTTAATTTCAAAGGGAATTCATCAACCAAAATAACTGCATGTATGTTCACAACACCAGGCTCTGAGGATTCCACGGGTTCAGTGGACTGCTTCTAGGCATGAGATGCGTTCTTAAGAAACCTCACATAGAAAAGGCGAACACTCAGCCAGTGAAGAGTGACCGGGTGGGAGTGGCATGACTGGCACGGGCTCCACCAGGGTGGCTGCACTGAGCTTTGCCATCTGTTAAAATTTTAGAGTCATTGTAGAGCCCCCAAAGAGCACAGTGTGAAGAATGCACAGTCATCTTGGGGGTTTGAAATATACCTAACAAACTCGAGCTCCTGCAAAGTAAGTCTCTTATTTAGAACAAGGGGAATTGCTCAGCACACAATGAATCATCTCCTGGCAAGCACAGCAGACCCTGAGGGACATTCACGGCCTCTTGCCCCGTTGTTAGGATGTTTTTAGCTTGTGCAGGTAAGGAAGAAGGTGGTTTGGATAGCCAGCATCTTGTTGCTAAAATTGTACAGTAAAGTTTGAGTCGCTGATGAAGTAGATCATTCCTCTGCCCCTCCTTCCTGCTTCTTTCCCCAGAGCTGCTTTGTCTCCCAAAAAGCAATCTGGAATTACTCAATACCAGTGTTTTCTGGTTGTGCTATTTACCCAGGTCTCAGCGCTGAATATTCATATGGGTCATTCTCTTTTCCTTACCTCATGTTTCTGTGTTTATTTAACTGTAATTTTGAAGGAAGCAAAGAGTCTCATCTTTCCCTTTTAGTGTCAGTACTTTTTACAACTGGCAAATGCACTTGGTTTTGTTTGTTTTTGTCCAGGAGGCCCTTGAGGTGCCCTCGGATGATTCAGAGGTGCCCATGACAGCGGCAGCGACCGAGGTGGTCAGATACGAGTACCACGTCCTGTACTCTTGCAGCCACCAGGTGCCCGTACTGTACTTCAGAGCAAGCTTCGCAGGTAGGACTGTGCCCGAGGCGCACAGTGAGTTTGTAATGTGTGTATCTAAGGGACAATGCGTATTTAGGAAATCATCCTCAAGAGGAAAAAAAATTGACTTCACAATAAGAAAACTAAGGGTGAGGTAAGGTTTTTCCAGTAAATTTTCTCATACTGCAGAGAGAGAATCAAGACTTCAGAGTGAATGATATCATCACGGTCTTAAGTCTGATCTTCGGAGTCTTGGCCTCCTGCCTGAAGTTGACTAAGCCCCTGACCCTTTTCTTTACTTGACTTTAACAAGCAGGCAGGACTTAAAGTGACAGTGTTCACTTACTTCTAGCCATATGGCAAAAGTTTCTAATGCTGTCCTGCAGCGACAGCACTAACTCCAACACTGCTGTGCTCAGCTTCTCAAGAGCTAATGCTTATTTCAAGAAATGTTTAGCCGTCAGCCTAAGCTGTGTTTAAAAGCAGCACTAACATGTCCTTTGGCCAGCTGCAGCTCTCAGTGCCCCAGTTTCCTGACCTGCTCTTGCCCCACTTGTCCCCTGCCAGGAGAGTGGAGCCCCCACCCCTTAAAGGCCTTTGCCAGCAAAGCAGATTTCACCTCAGCTGCATGGTGTGCTCACCCCAAGTGCAGTGCACACCCCTAGTGCAGTGCACACCCCTTCCTGTCCACTGCGTATGGCATCAGCATCCGGGCGCCTGGGTCTGGGCTCAGAGGCCAGGCCGGGTCCCCTGCAGGCCACCCGTGTCCTCCATGTCCTCTGTCAGGGCTGGTCCACAGCGGTTTGCAGTTTGAACAGCCTTCTAACTTTTTCCAGAGTGCTAAGGCATCTGAATTTAGCCAATGATATTTTATTTTTAATTAAAAAGTAGCTTAAGCTGCTTTGAGCGTGTATTTGGTAGATTTAATCACTTGCTGCCTTATATTGTTTAATGGTCTCTAATTTTGCAGTGCTAGTGGTTTAAAAAGCACTTAGGAGTTAAAACACAAGAACAAATTCTCATAGACTCCCTGGTGAGAAGATTTTAATCTGAGGTGGGGTTCCGAAGAACTGACAATTTGGGGTAAATTTTCAACGTGGGACATGGGGAGTTGAGGACCCTGATAGTTCACTAATACACCAACTCCTGCAGCAGATTTATTCCTTGATTATCACAAGGACCCTTAAAGCACTTCTTTTCTTGTAATTCTATTTGGTCTGGAGCCCAGAGATGAAAGGCTGTGTATATTACTCTGATAGGTGGAGGGGCCTTCTGGGATCAGTATTCAGAGGTTGACGTGTGGGTCAGTGTGCAGAGATCCATGTGCATGGATCTGTGTGCAGGCATTAGTATCAGGGATCCGTGTGCTGGATGGTGGTGTGCAGGGGTCAGTGTGCAGGGCTTGGTGTGATGGATCCGTGTATGGGCATTGGTGTCAGAGATCCATGTGCAGGATAGTGGTGTGCAGGGGTCGGTGTGTGGGACTGGGTGTGCATGGATCCGTGTATGGGCATTGGTGTCAGAGATCTGTGTGCAGCATAGTAGTGTGCAGGGGTCGGTGTGTGGGGCTTGGTGTGCAGGCATCCATGTACAGGCATGGTGGTGTGCCGGGATCCGTGTGCAGGCATC